GCATAATGTGTAAGGTTTCTTAAAATATAGAAATGGATCTGAAGGGAATCATGACACTAAAACAGCTTATTGCATCCCCAAGCCACCTTTTGGGTACAAACTATCAAAACAAGTGATGAACCTACAATTAAAATTCTCTTTCAGATGCAAAGTGTATATTTTCAATTTTTATTTAAAATTTTCCGCATTTGTAACTTATGTTTAGCTTTGTGTGGAGATGTAAATGATGGCAAGGCTATTTGCCAAATGGAGAGTTGCTCCAGGCTGTTTGTTCATATCTAATAGCAGATAGCAGCTGGTGCAAAATATCACTGACAAGGCCCATGCTGCTGCTGGGAGACCAACAAAGGGGACAAAGTAAAGATTAAGGGATGGACACACTAGAGATCAACGAGCAATAAATCTGTTACTGTATTTTCTTAAGTGTCTTTTTATAACTCTATGCTAATCTCTTCGTTTTTCAATGTAGATTGAATGCTATTGGCAGAATACATCTGTTAGCTATTTTTAGTACTAAAATTTTCATTTTTCTGGAGTGTGATCTTTATTTGTTCAGGGGGTTTTAGAAGTTCAAAAATAGCTAATACTGAATTTAATTTTATGAGTATTTGTAAAAGAGTTTCATGCTGTGGAAACTGTTGATGTGTGGTTGTTGTTTATGTGGCTTTATTATATTTATACTGATGTATGCAAAATTAAAGGCAAAAGAATTGAATTTTATACTATTTTGAGCTCTAATTTTCAAAAGAGCCACTTGACATAAACCTGATATAGAAGCATAGAATTGTACTTTTGGGGGAGGTGGTATTGTAATATCTTGTTTAGATTTTAAGAACATGTCTTTTACACTCTACTTATAAACATCACAGAATCCATGAGTGTTGGTAGTTTCTAAAATGAACAGGTAGGCAAGTAGTTAGTATTTAGTTTGATACATAACTACTCATCTTTTACATTTTATATTTTGTCACAAAAAGTACTTCACTTCAATATGAAATTTATAATAATAATAATAATAATAATCCTTGCATTTGATATAGCGCTTTTCACGTCGGGAGGACGTCCCAAAGCGCTTCACAGAACACACTGTAAAGTGAATTGACTGTATATTTGTGGGCGAACGCGGCAGCCAATTGCGCACAGCAATGTCCCACAAACAGTCGTAGATTGAAAATGACCAATTTATTATTGTTTTTGGTGGGATTATTATTAGTCTCTGTCTCTCATCCTCACCTACAAGGCTATTCACGGCCTTGCTCCCTCCTACCTCTCCGACCTACTATCCCCCTACCTACCTGCCCATACCCTCCGTTCCTCTGGTTCCGGTCTGCTCCACATCCCCCGCCCCAACCGCCCTACCATCGGTGGCCGGGCCTTCAGTCTCTCAGCCCAGAGGCTCTGGAACTCTATCCCCCAGTGCCTTCGCCGCTTCTTCCCTTTCCTCCTTCAAGGCCGATCTCAAGACCTTTCTCTTTGACCGTGCCTTCAGCTCCCTTCTCGACTCTCTACCCCCTGCTCGCTCCCTCCCTTCCCTCACCTTAACCATTTCCCCCCAATGCTCGGGTCCCGACCCAACTGTACAGCGCCTTGGGACGTCCTCCCGACTTATGCTAGTATATAGCAATTCTTTAAAATGGTGGGCTGATTGTTTTGGGGGATAATATTTGCCACTGAGCATGATACAGGCTGGGATTGGATATGTGACATTTACAGAGACCTAGAGTTATTATACCTACGGTAGACAAAGGAAAAAAATTACAGCTTTTTTTTTTGTTCAAAGTTCTTTTTCATGCATTGCTCTATTAACAATAACAAAAAAATTCATGTGTATAGCACCTTTCACGCTTTCACAATGTTGTTGTTCACGTCGGGAGGACGTCCCAAGGCGCTGGAAAGAGCTTGGAGTCGGGAGGGTGGCGGGCAGGCGGGTAAGCAGGGAGTTTGAAAGCATGGTTCAAGAGGAGGATCTTGAAGGAGGCAAGGGAGAGGGCGAGGTGGAGGGACAGCGGGATGGAGTTCCAGAGGGTGGGGGCAGAGTGGCAAAAAGCAAACCGACCAATAGTGGGGCGAGTGAGGCAGGTGATGTGAAGCAGGCTGGAACCTGCTGAGCGGAGGGAGCGAGCAGAATGGTAGGAGGCTAGGAGGTTGCAGACGTAGGGGGGAGCAAGAGCATGGAGGGCTTTGAAGGTGAGGACCAGGATCTTGAACTGTATCCTCTATGTGATGGGAAGCCAGTGGAGTTGGGCGAGGATGGGGGTGATAGGGTTGTGGAGCCTGGTGTGGGAGAGGACACAGGCTGCAGAGTTCTGGATGATCTGCAGCCTGTGGAGGGAGGAGTTGGGGAGGCCGACAAGCAATGAGTTTCCATAGTCGAGCCTTGATGTTATGAATGAGTGTATGAGGGTTCTAGCGGCCTGTGGTGTGAGACAGTGGTGGAGCCGGGAGATGTTGCGGAGGTGGGGGAAGGCAGAGCAGGTCATGACACAAATGTGGTGTAGAAAGGATAGTTGAGGGTCAAGCAAGACCCCCAGGTTTCTGGACTGGCTTGGCACAGTTGAGTGTGCATCCATGGATGGTGATGCTGTTAGTGCCTGAGGAGGAGGCGCTGACGGGAGCCAATCAGGAGAGCCTCGGTCTTGTTGACGTTCAACTGAAGAAAATTAGCTCTTATCCAGGACTTGATGTCCGACAGACATTCTGTCAGCACAGCAGTGGTCCTGGAGTCAAGGGTGGAGGTAGAGATGGATATCATCCGCATATATGTGGAAGTTGACCCCGTGTTTGCGGATGATGTCACCAAGAGGGAGCATATAGATATTGGAAGAGGAGGGGGCCAAGGACAGAGCCCTGAGGAATGCCGCACAAGATGGTGTGGGGGCTAGAGGAGAAACCGTTTGTGGAAATGAAGTGGAGGCAATGTGAAAGGTACGATCTGAACCAGTCAAGGACAGAGCCGTGAAGGTGAGGTGAAAGGAGAGGTAGTGGATGAGGATAGAGTGGTTAACAGTTGAAGGCAGCAGAGAGGTTAAGGAGGACGAGGGGGTAGACGGAGCCCTGGTCCAGATGGACAGAATGTCATTTATCACTTTGACCAGGGCTGTTTCTTTGCTGTGGATGGCACGGAAACCTGATTGGAGGGGTTCGTGAAGGGAGTGGTGGGAGAGAAAGGAATGAAGCTGGGAAGCAACCACTCGTTCCAGGACCTTAGAGAGAAAAGGGAGGTTGGAGATGGGGCCAGGGAGGATTTTTTAAGGATGGGGTAATGATGGTGTTTTTTAATGGGGCGGGAACAGTAGCAGAGGACAGGGAGAGGTTTATGATGTCGGTGAGTAGAGGGGCTGGGAGGTGGAGCTGGGAGGTAAGGAGAGGGGTACAGATGGTTGAGGGAGCAGGTGGTCGGTTTCATGCGGGTTATAGTGGCAATGAGAGAGGAGGGTGAGACAGGTTCAAAGGTATGGTGGGAGGGATGGGTAAGGGCTGGGTAAGAGGGGGAGATGAGGAGGGGGCGTCAGATGGAATGGCAGTGGCAGCTGAGCGGATTCCCTTGACTTTGGATTCAAGAAGTTCAGTATTGCCTTGAAGTTGGCATTGGAGGTGAGGATGGGCGAGGCATGAGAGGGTAGGCGGAGAAGCCGGTTTGTGATGGAGAAGAGGAGCCTGGGGTTGTCCTTAGTCTCCAAGATTGCTTGGAGTTGAACGACAATTTAGCGGAGGCGAGGGCCTAGCGGTTGGATTTTATATTGTCCAGCCAGATCTGCCAATGGACCGTTAGGTTTGATTTAAGCTAGGTGCACTCACCTGTGCTCTAAAGGAGCGGAGATGGCTTGTGAATAGGAGATGGTTCGGGAAGAGAGGGGAACAAGGGAATCGAAAGTGGAAGAGAAGGAGCTGTGGAGAAGAGTGACCGAGGAGGATTGGGTCATTGTGGGAGGAAGCCCAGAGGGGAAGGAGTTCAGATACCTCCAAGGCAGCCCAGAGGGAGGAGGGGGAGATTTTTTTTCAGGAGTAGTATGAGATGGAGGTGGGTTTGGTGGCGGTGGGGAGAGCGATTGAGGAGCTAAGGGAGATGAAGTGATGGTCTGAGATCGCTTTATCGATGATGGTGAGGTTCAAGACAGTGAGGTCCCGAGTGATCACCAGGTCGAGGTGGTGACTGCAGACGTGGGTGGTAGAGTGGATGTGGAGGGAGAGGTTGAGGAAGGAGATAAGGGAGGAAAAGTCAGCAGGAGGGGGTGAAGTGGAGGTTGAGAAGGTGTTCGGAGCAGAGGGAGAGGGAAGATAGGAGAGTATTGATGTCGGGGATGAAGGTGGGGGAGGGTTTGGGGAGGTGATAGATGAGGAGAATTTTGAGGAAAAGGTTGGAGGGGTGATAAAGAGTAAGGTGCTCAAAGGAGGAGAAGTTTCCAGAGGAGTAAGGGGATAGGCCAAGCGGGGACCAGGAGATGGGAACCACACCGTCACCATGGCAGTTGGGTCGTGGTAAGTTACTAGTAGGGACATTAATAATAATAATCCTTGCATTTGATATAGTGCCTTATCACGTCTTTGAGACATCTTAAAGCACTTTACAGTATATGCTGTAAAGTGAATTGACTGCATATTTTGTGGGCAAAACGCGACAGCCAATTGCGCTCAGCAGTGTCCCACAAACAGTCGTGGATTGAGTGACAATTATAATTTATTTTTTGAAGGATTTATTACCCCCAGAAAAGCGATTTGCCAATCTACTAAGAAATGGCTTCCTACTTACTACTAGGTTAACAGAGGCATGTGGAGGAAGTAAACTTGCCCAACCTTTCGCTCTGCCGGGAATCGAATCCAGATCCTCTCACTTGTGAGGCGAGTGCTCTAACCACTGAGCTACAGGACTCCACAGTGCAATACAGTTTTTGCTTGTTTTATTACGAAGCAATATTCAAATGTATGTAACAAACCATCAAGCAACTAAGATCTGGATCATAAATATGATATGGTTCTATATTCTACCTTTTCTTTTACAGCTCTATGAACTAGACAGTGATCCTCGAAGAAAAGAATTTTTGGATGACCTTTTCACTTTCATGCAGAAGAGAGGTAAGGTAAATTTTCAGCATATTTGACAGCAGAATAAAAATGACACCTGGATATGTTTTAATATAATAAGATTCATGCTGTGTGGTAAATAGTCCTATTTTAGAATTACTTCCAAATAATACCTATTTTTCTTTCTCACCAACTTCTGTCTTGGAAGGATCAACGGCAATGGTAAATTTAGGCACCAGAGTCCTGATGGTTGTAATAGCCATATGTCTAATAACACAAGTAACATAAAAATACTCTGATTTATTGGAAAAAAAAGATAGATTAGGATGATAGGATGATACAGAGTATGAGAAAGAACAGCTGGCTACATCAGCTTTTCTGCTGGAGATTGAGGGGTGATATAACAGATCTTTACGGTTCCAAATCATAAGATGCGTAAAGAAGAAATGTTTCCTTTAGTTGGGGAATCGGTGGGAAGGAAACATGATCTCAGGATTATTGAAAGAAACGTGAGGGGAGATGTTTGAAAGTTCTGCGCCAGAAGATTGTTATAGTTTAAATTCATTGCCACAAGTGGCTATGAAGCCAGGATCAATTAAATCTTTGAGAAAAAAATTATAAACAGTCAATAAAATATTTGTGGGCACAGATTGAGACTGGGACTAATAAAGAGAATGACTGGTAGCAATGGCACAAGTTTGGTGGGCCATAAGGGCCTCCTTCGGTGCTGAAAATACCTCTATCTTTACTTCCTTGGAAGAAATACTGTCCTAAAGTTAGTTTTTTGAATACTTGAACCTAATTGCTTTTGTCATGCTTTCTTGATCGCTTTTCTGTTGGTTGTACATAAGAAATGCACGAAAGAAGACCAAGAGCTATCTATTCCACCTTCCACCTTTCTGGCTGTTGCATGCACATATGTTTCGAACTATCTATGTACTATATCCCATAATGTTATTTCCTAAAACAAAACTATCTAATCTGTTTGGAAGAATCAACACTTCCTGCTTCAACTATCTCCCCAGAGATTGATTCCACAGGTTCACTATTCGCTCACTAAAATATTATTTACGTAGATTCGTTCTGAATTTACCCCCCTTCAGTCACAGGCCATGTTCCTCTGGTTTTACTATTCTGAACAAGTTGAAACAGCCTGTCATGATCTATATTGTCTTGTCCATTTTGAATCTTAAAGACAGCAATCATGTCACCTCTCAATCTTCCCCTTTTCACCTTGAACATGCCCAATTAGTCACTCCTCATAGTCCAATCCCTTTATTCCCTCTATCATTCTGGTTGCCCTTCTCTGTATCTTCCTGATTTCTCCAATATCCTTTTTGTACTGTGGCGACCAGAACTGTAGTCTCTAAGATGGTCTCACCAATGATATATACAGTGGCAGGATTACCCCACTATTTCGGCTGCTGTTGATCTTTTGATACATCCCAACATCTGGTTTGCTTTACTCACAGCCACAGAGCATTGTTGGGAGAGCTTCAATTTATTGTCAGTTAGGATCCCCAGGTCCTTTTCATTTTCCATACATATTATTTTCCTTCCGTTCAAATAATAACCCCTTCTAAGATTTTTTTTATTCCTATGTGAAGTACTTTACATTTCTCCACATTGAATTTCATCCATGAGGCTCCGTAACCCCATCACTCCCATCCTTGCCTGACTCCACTGGCTCCCCATCCCCCAGAGGATCGAGTTCAAGATCCTCGTCCTCACCTTTAAGGCCATCCTTGGCCTTGCCCCCTCCTACCTCTCTGCCCTGCTGACTCCCTACCAACCTGCCCGATCTCTCCATTCAGCGGGCTCTGGCCTGCTCCATGTCTCCCGATGGGTGGCCGGGCTTTGGAGTCCTGCAGCTCAGTGGTTAGAGCACTCGCTTTGCAAGTGAGGGACCTGAGTTCAATTCCAGGCAGAGGGCGAAACCTTGGGCAAGTTTCCTTACTCCACACAGAGCCTAATAATAATCCCTCCAAAACCAAAAACAATAATAAATTGGTCATTTTCAATCTACGACTGTTTGTGGGACATTGCTGTGCGCAATTGGCTGCCGCGTTCGCCCACATATATACAGTCAAATCACTTTACAGTGTATTCTGTGAAGCGCTTTGGGATGTCCTCACGACGTGAAAAGCGCTATATCAAATTCAAGGATTATTATTATTATTATTCAGCCTCTCTGCCCCCACATTCTGGAACTCCATCCCACGGTCCCTTCGCCTCGCTTCCTCCCTTGCCTTCAAGGCCGGCCTCAAGACCCTTCTCTTCGACCGTCCTTTGGTCTCCCTCCCACCTCTCTGCCTTCTCTCACCCCTACACCACCCCTCCCCCATGCTCGGACCCCGACACCTGACTGTTCAGTGCTTTGGGACATACTCCTGAAAAGCGCTCTATAAATGTAATTCTGTTGCCACCAATCTGCCCATTTCCCAAGTATGTTCAAGTCTTCCTGTAACCTATCTTGTTCAACTACACAATCTTCCACTTGGTGTCATCTGCAAACTAGCCACTGTACTTATGATTCCTAGTTTCAGATAATTTAAAAAATATTAAACAAAAGAGGTCTAAAACAAACCCCTTTAGACCTCCACTGGTAACATTTTCCCATTCTGATGACATTCCCTGTATCACCACCCTCTGGGTTCTTCCGGTCAACCAGTTGAGTATCCATTGTAATATATCTCCACTGATTCCCGCTTTCTTTATTTTCGGTACCGGCCTCTCAAGATGAACTGTATCAAAGGCTTTACTGAAATCCAGATGTACAACATCCACAGCCTTATCCTTATCAAGCTCTTGTCACACTGTCAAAGAAAACCAGTAAATTAGATTGGCAAGACCTTCCCTTCATGAATCCATATTGGCTATCATTTATGATCTTATTTTATTTCTGTCCTAATACTCCATGATTTAATCCTTGATAAGAATCTCCATAATTTTACCCACAGTGATAATCCCAACTAAATAAAATTTAAAAAATTTGGTCGTTCAGTCAAGCTGTGCACAATTGGCAAGTGCGTTTCTCCCACAAATATATACAGTCAATTCACTTTACATTGTTTCCGTTGAAGCATTTTGAGACGTCTGGGAGACATGAGACTGTATTAAATGCAAGGATTATTTTTTTACAAAGCGCCCTGCTAATTTATTTACCCTCCCCCCACCCTCCATATTGTAAGCATGATCTTGCATATCAATGGCAGAAAGTAACCCAAGTTTTTCTAGCAATAAAAATAATTTTAAGTACATCTGTAGCAAAATAAAATCCTGCTAAATCCCAAATTTTGTTGCAAAATCTTAGGTGATGCAATCTGCTTGCCTGCTCTTTTCATTATTGAATAGTGAGCTACAACAAACATCTACATTCTGGAATTATCGATTTTGAATTTGTTTTGTTCCAAAGTTCATTTTTTGGTTCTTTTGCAGTGTTTAAAGACCAATATAATGTCGCTTTGTTTTATATTATACAATCCAGTCGATGGTTAATATTATAATTAAATTTTCGTTCCTCTGCATTAACCACATTAGAGGTATATTGTCTCCTGTCCGGCTTATTTAAAGTTCAATATTCTACAGTAAAGAGCCCAATATTTGCAGCAATTTTGACTGGACACATTGTGTGGATATAATATCTTGCACAGATATTGCTTCTGTGTGTTTTCTGTCTCTTCCCATTTCTCTCTCTCTCCCTCTCTGCATAACCATCTCTCTTTCTCAGCAATTTAGCATTATTGCTTGTTTAATGCTCAGACCCTCTGAATCTAAACTGAACATAATGAAAAGTATCCATTGTCATCATAATCTAGTGAGAAATCTCCTAATATAATTAACTTTGGAACTGTTAATACAATTGTATTTCTTGTTTTTAGGGACTCCAGTAAATCGGATTCCCATCATGGCCAAGCAGGTTCTGGACCTCTATATGTTATATATGCTGGTGACTGAGAAAGGAGGTCTGGTGGAAGTCATCAATAAGAAACTTTGGAGGGAAATTACCAAAGGCCTCAGTCTTCCTACTTCCATCACAAGTGCTGCCTTTACCCTCAGAACTCAGTGAGTTATGCTTTAAATATAGCTCTACTGTAGCTGAAATAGATTGAGTATTCTGAAGATTCAGTACATTGTGGCTGTTTATAAATGAAAGCGTTTTCATTAATCTTACAATCCTGAAATAATTTATGATGTTTTTCATATGATCTGAGTGATATTGAGTGTTTAAATTCCATTACATAAACGATATAAAATGATGTATCTAATCCATCCTGTATTAGTAAATTTTAAAATCCTAGAAATTGCATGTTCCAGCAAATGTTGTTGAATTATGATCAGAGGTAGAAAATCCAGCTGATCAATGTCTCCCTCCTAACCCATAGATGCTGAGACTACTTGTGAAGATGCTCTCTGATTTTTTTCTTTTCTACTTTGCTGGCTTTCAGAAATTGCATTTGAATGTTTTCCAAATATTAACAGCTTAAAATATTTGCAGCCAGAAATTGGAAGTGTTACATCTAGTGACTGAGTGGCTATCCTCGTTTTTGTTTGGGGTGGAGGGGAGTTGGGAGACAAGGAATGCAAGCTGAGCTTGAATGTTGGAATCGGGTTAATTCTCTGGCAGGTCTCAGTAGTCTGGTTTCTGAGCCAAATGGGGCTCCAGGGCACTGCTGATAACAGGCCAGCCAATCTGGTTCATTGGTAGGACCTGGATGGTCATACTGGGAGCAGAGATTCTTCACACTCAGCATCTAATTCGAAGTCCTAATCAGAAGGGTGGTATTAACTGGACTAACATCAGGAAACTTGCCAGCCAGTGCTCATTTATAGGCAATGTGGTTAGCTGATTGAAGCCCATCAGTACTTCTTCCCACACTTGGCTCCCAAATCTCGTCTCTTGCCTAAGGGATTGGGTAAGGTAGGTGTGTTCCTCCAGGGAGAGTGCACATCAAATCCTGAGATTATTATACTACAGTATCTTCTAATTAAATTCTCTCTGAAATGTGACTATATTGTATTTCAATAATTGTTTTCACCTTTCCAGATACATGAAATACCTCTATCCATATGAATGTGAAAAGAGAGGCTTAAGCTCTCCCAATGAACTGCAAGTTGCTATTGACAGCAATAGACGAGAGGGTCGAAGACACAGCTTTGGCTCTTCACTTTTTAGCTATTCTCCCAGTGGGACGCCTTCAGCCCTATCTTCTTCAAAGCTACAAGTGCCTACACTAAGTCTAGCCAGCAATGGCAGCCCCATTGGCCATTTGACAAAAATAAAGAAAGGTACGTTGGTAACTTTTCAGGTCACTTATGAGGGTTGCAAATTGTGTTTTGCTTGGGTCGGTGCTCTTAATAGTATAATCATTACTCCAAATACATTTCTGTTAAGATACTTTTTTCCATAGAAAAAAAATTAATCACATCAAGATTCACCTCCCACAGATTACAGACCTGCTCTAATGTGGAGTCAAATGACTCACTTTTTCCTAGTTTGTTTTACATAGAAGCTCAATATTTATCCATTCAAATCTATTTTTTATTTATATTTTTGACTTTATGCTATTTATGAGCCACCTGCGTGATAACAATTATCACGTTGCTAAATAAATTTAAGGTATAGAGCCAATAGCAAGATTGTTTTGAGACTCAGTCTATTAAGGTAAATCCATATTGACTACTCCATTATAGCTTTTGCTCTTTAGATCACCATCCTCTGAAAAAATGTTGTCCCAATAGAAATCACTGACCACTGGGAATATGAGTATTGAGATCACTTGCCCAACAATGATGTCTATTATTCTTTTTATTTCCTAAAATTTAATTTTGCCACATCTGAATTACCAATTTTCCATATGTGGCCATTGGCTAGTGTATTGGACAACCCTGCTCTAAAATATACTCCAGCATTTCCCTCACTAGATGTCAGGATAAGTAGTTTTGAATATTAATACTCCTAGAACAACTTGGATTTATATAGCGCCCTCCACCCCAGACGACATCTCAGGGCGCTTCACAGTAATGGATCCCGGGGCCGAGCCAGGGGTAGGGGGAGGAAGGTGACCAAAGGCGCGGTCAAAAAGAAAGGTCTTCAGCCGAGACCTGAAAATAGGAAGAGAGGGGCCGAGACGAAGGGAGTGAGGAAGGGAGTTCCAGAGCCTCGGGGCGTAGTGGCTGAAGGCACGGCCGCTGATGGTGGAGCGGAGGATTCGGGGGACAAGGAGGTGGCCAGACCCGGTGGAGCGAAGGCAACGGGTACTGTTGTGAGAAGAGAGGAGATCAGAGCGGTCGAGGGGTGCAGAGGAGTGGAGGGATTTGAGGACAAGAGTGAGGATCTTGTCCAGTACAAATCACCGACAAGCAAGGTGGATAGATATTTGTTAGGTCAGGGTATTAACGGAAACAGAACAAGGGCAAGTAATTGGAGTTGAGGTGCAGATCAACCATGATCTTATAGAATGGTGGAACAGGCTCAAGGGGCTGAATGGTCTATTCCTGTTTTTATGTTTGCTGTTTTTAGAACAATAAGATAATGTTCTGCTCTAATCCTTTGGTACAGCTCCAGTGATTTTTGTTCATAAAATATGTGAAGCAGCAGCATTATATTTAAAACTGGTCCATGAGGACAACACAGCGACAAATATTGCAGTGCAAAATGTTGCTTTGTTTAGTTAAATCATCCTTTTTTTGTTTTATTACTATTACGTTTGTCTGCTCTTTAAATGACTTCTACAGCTGAGTAGTTGCAATGTCAGTTCGATTTCTATTGTTTTATAGAGGACAATGTAAGCATTCCACTACCGTTAGGAGGCAGACTCCCTATCTCGCTGTCCAGTCAGCAAGTAGCCGCGGTGCAGGCAGCAGCAGCCCAGGCGGCAGTTGCTGCACAGGCTGTGGCATTAGATCAGCTGAGAGAGAAGCTGGAATCCGGAGAGCCACCCGAAAAGAGAATGGCTGTTGGATCAGATGAGCAGCAACGACTGATGCAGCGTGCCATTCAACAGAATCTACTTGCCATGACAGCCCAGATACCAATGAACATCAGAATCAATAGCCAAGGTATTATGACCACCGTGGAATACTTTTGCTGCATGAAAGTACAGTTTATAGTACTAAAGGGCAGGGAGTACACCGTAAACAAAGGAAGCTTTATTGGTGACTGAAATAATTATGCAACATAAAATAGAGGCAGATAAAAATCTAATCATTTTGTGTAACTGAATAAATTATTTCAACTGCTAAAAATAGTGAACATTTTATAACATTGTCCAATATAATCCTTGCACTTGTTATAGCACCTTACCACGTCTTTGAGACGTCTCAGTGTTTCACAGGGTATTTTGTAAAGTGGATTGACTGTATTTTATCGGTGTAATATAAAAACTGATTATCTAATATTGATTGAGTTGCTGGATGTATAATGCATTATTATGGTCTATTGGAGGGCTGGTTGTGCCATCTTGCACCACCTCCTGCTCTATGCTGTCAAAGGATAGGGTGGGAGGGTACAGTGCGGCCCTCCAACAAACCAGAGGCCTGTGTGATGCACATAAGCACGTGTGTCTAACCTCCACCAAGCTCCCGCATTCGTCGCAGCACTCCCTTGTGTCCCCGGAGGCCCTATGCCTAATCCACCACTCCATTTAACTCGTCTAGATGTCCTGATGCGCATTCAATATTGATGAGGATTTGGTTCTCATTCACTCTTGTGCTGTAACTTTTTACTTCTTCTATTGCCCTTTGTTTCTAGCACTTTTTTTGAAATTGCAAATTTACAATCCAGTTTCAGGATTGTACTTATTTCTGTTACTTACAAGCAAAACCAATGACTTAGTACAATACAATTACATTTTATATAGCTCTTTTTGCATCAGGTGGACCTCTCAAAGTGCACACTGCTGTCTGAGTGGAAAAAGATGACCAAATGCACTGTCAAAGAGGAACATCTTGAGACAAGCTTTGAATAAGGGGAGAGAGCGAGCTGGAGAAACTCGGATTGAGTTCCCAGAGAGCAGAGATAGAATAGTTGAAAGTCCACCCAAATCTGGGCAGTGTTCAGTGATCATGAAGCAGGCCAGTTTTCCTGAGAAAAGGGAGCAGATAGATAGGTATGGTTGAAAGAAGTATTACTGCAAAGTACTTAGGATTTCTGTAAAGTGTAATGACTGTGAAGCATATGTCTTCCATCCTGAAATCGTTATAGTAAACTCCAGATAACTTGTCACTCCAAGCGGAGAAGGGCTCAGTGACGAGTTATCTGGAGTGGCGGATTAGGCATAGGTCCTCTTGGGCCACAAGGGATGCTGTGACTAGTGCGGGCGCTTGGTGGAGGTTGAACACACGTGATCAGGTGCATCACAGTGGCCTCTGGTCTGTTGGAGGGCCACATGTGGAGTCCTGTAGCTCAGTGGTTAGAGCACTCGCTTTGCAAGTGAGAGACCTGAGTTCAATTCCAGGCAGAGGGCCAAACCTTGGGCAAGTTTCCTTACTCCACACAGAGCCTAATAATAATCCCTCCAAAACAAAAACAATAATAAATTGGTCATTTTCAATCTACGACTGTTTGTGGGACATTGCTGTGCGCAATTGGCTGCCACGTTCGCCCACAAATATACAGTCAATTCACTTTACAGTGTGTTCTGTGAAGCGCTTTGGGACGTCCTCCCGACATGAAAAGCGCTATATCAAATGCAAGGATTATTATTATTATTATGGTGAATTGTTGATATCAATTGATCTCCCAACAGATCGCCAGGAATCTGCATTGAACCTTACTACAAATGGCATGAGTAGTATCAGTATGTCAGTTGAGATCAATGGAATTGTCTACACAGGTAACAATAAAGCTCCATGTAGACACTAGTTTTATCTGGAGTTTTGACATTTTGTGAAGTACAGATTGGGAACGGTGTTGTGTTTATTTGATTTATTAAGAAATAGCAGATTATTTCTGCAGTATATATAATTGTCAATAGATTTGTTTAGTATGAACTAGTAATCTCCTATCACAAACCAAATACCACTGAGCAGAGATAGATACTCTGCTTCATGTTTTTTTTGGTCAATTGCATTGTATGATGTGTGGAAACTCATTACCATGGTTTGTAATGGAATATGCACTCTCTCCCTGGAGGGACGCATCCTGCATACCTAATTCTGAAATGTATTAGGCACAGGTTGGCAAGAGGTTGGCTTGGGGACCATCACAATGTGCATTGGTGCTGGAGTTTAACCTGCTAAAACCGTGCAGCTTACCTTTGAAAGCATTGTTTACTAAGCTTCCTGCTGCCTGTCCATCTGGGGCCACCCACTTGTTGGGGCTTTAGCCTGCAGGGTTAACTAAGTGTAAAGAACCCTTATCCCCAGACTGCCCCTTCCAAGTCCTACCCATTAACCAGGCTGATCTGTCTAAGCAATGCCCTGGAATTCTCTTCTCCCAGCCCCCCAAGGAGGACAGTTATCAGTGTTTTTAGGCCTTTTCCAATGCTCCTCTGAGCCCCTGGAATACTGGGCTATGTCGAGAATGTTTTTTTTCTTTAAAACATTTTTAATTTCACTGGCCTAAATTCTGTAACTAAATTGTAATGTATCAGATGAAAAGAATGTATTAGTTCTCAGTTGAAAGTGTGTTTTTCCCATTTCCCCAGGTGTTCTGTTTGGTCAAGGACCTGGAGTATCTGGCGTTTCCAGCAGTAAAGGAAATGGAAACAAAACTAACAGTTCTCAAGTCCCGCCTGGTCTGTCTGTACCTCGTACACCTACCTCCTCCTCATCCCATACTTCAAACAGCTCTTCACCTTGAGGCCAGAGCTATGAGGATGCCTACAGCTTCTGTAGCGCAGTGCATCACTGCCAAACACTTGAAAAGAAGTTCTCAGGCTTTTAACTCTCATGGAAAATAAGTGTTAATCTTCAGGGGTTTCAATAGGAGTGGCTAAAACTGAAAGGCAACAGTTAAGCATAATCAGCTCTGCTTAGAAACTTTCTTATGTAACTGGTGGAGATCCAGGAGCAGCTATCTACTACTAATACCTCAAACATCTACTTAATATTTAATCAAGAAGCCAGATTTATATCATTGGTTATATTTTTCCTTTTACCATTCAACAAAAGTTAAGCTTTTTAAAAAAAAATCTATGTATTTCCATGATATGCTACTTTAGACTAAGATTTTTAAGTGAATATTGATATTTTTTGAAGGAAAGAAAATTTTCAAGCACATTCACCGTGTTGCTCATGACCTGCTTTTTGGTATATTCAGTTCCTGCCGGATAAGGATGGGTAAAATTCTTCCAGGCTTATCCATTTGTATAGATGTTTACCCATGTAGCATTAATACAGATTAACATTATTACAACAGTACAATATATTTATTATATACATTTACTTTTGAGTTTTTTTAATATATTTTTCACAACACATTACTTGAATACAGTGGAGCTATTTTCAGATCAGCTTAATCCCTGTCAAAAATAAATAACTTTAAAAGGTGCATTCCATTCCAATTGTTGTCTGGGCCATTATGTTGGAAAGCACATAAGAGAACATGAAAAGTCCATTGAATAGATGCACCCCAGCCCATTCCTTCAACATGCCTTATGCTGCAACTTCCACTCTCTTCTCTCCTCCCTCTCCCCCCATTATCTCCAAACGGAAAGTTCTGTACAAGACACCACTGTTCCAGATTGTTGCCCATTCTAAATGGACCATCATTCTCCCTGATCGTAGCAGGACAGCCTTCTTCATTACTATAGCATTGCTTTAGTGTTCGATAGAGTAAAATTACAGAAATTTCCTATGTAATAATAGCATTTTTATCCATGCACTACTGTTCAAGAGACTACAATATGGGATGAAAGCATCTTACACAATTTAACCCTTAGATTGTTAAGAGCGATACTGAAAAAAAATCATTACAGTGGCTCCTCAAATATCTGCAAGGCTGTTAAACCTAACCATTTTTAAATTAAATATAAAAAGTGGAACATTTGAAAATGTTCCCCGTGCTCACTCACCATGAGATAGATACATATATATCTATAACCTTTTTCTTTCTGTTTGCTTCCCTGTTTTTGTCTTTGTGCTATTTTCTGCCTCTGTTCTATATTTCTATCTTTAAAATGTGCTTCTTACCTTCCTCTCCCAGTTCTTGCCATTTATTTTGAAAGCTGTCTACACTTTTTTTTTAAAAATGGGGTTAAAAACATATTTACACGTCTTCTACCTGTAAAGATTTTAAAGTTTGACAGTACTGCATCATTGACGTGTTCAAGTCCGTGACATATTTTGTTTCTAAATCAAAAGTAGGGAACGAGTGCACTCAGTTGCACCCAAGTGAATGAACTTGTTGTACATGCTGCTCTGAGGGTCAAGTTAATTATCAAATCGCCTTGTTAATACTGGACAAAACTCCATCTAAGCAATAGGAAAATAACAAGTCAACTGTTTTCTTCCCATAACCTAGAAGTGTTTCTGGACTTGGCTTGTGTCCATAAAAGGCCTGTTCACAAGTGAATTTCAATCCATTTGATGTTGATCTTAAGTAAGCTCCACTGGATCCACTGTAGGAATTCACGTGACATTTGAAGGAAAATCGTATTCTATATGGAGTGTTCTCTATATATTACATATTTCTACTTTTAAAATCTCTTTCTCATCTTCTTTGTTCTTCCAGCTCCCACTGTAATATCTATTTTAATGTTGTGTTCATACTGTGAAAATGTATATTTACAATGTAAACCAGCATTACACCAAAGATGCACATGCGATATAGAAATATTGTTCTGCTTGGTTTATATATAAAATGACCACAAGTTCAGACGTTATTAGTGCTGTGAATGCAAACGCTAAATGATTAGGGGAAGATTAGAATTTCATGTTTAATGATCTATTTGAAAATTTTCAACCAAACAAGTTTTTCTTCCATTGCCAGCCTTGTCTTTGGGAAGCCAATTGACAGACTTTTTCTTTTCATAATCAACTTTACACTACCATTTCCCTTTGTGATATTAAACGGGTTTAGCTGTGTATATATTTGAATAGGGAAAAAGAAATAAAAAATACTTATTCATCTTTTATTTCCATTCCCCTAATCATTAATTCATTAAAGTACAGTCTGCCTGGACTCTTTGGAAGAATGGAAAGCTGGTACTATTGCTGTATTTCTAGCAGCTGTACATTTAGTACAGCTTCTCAGTTTCACTGGCCTTTCTTAGTGAGGGTGGAAAAAGTCTGTCCACCAGAAGTCATGTTGAATCATTGAAACTTGACATCAGCTGCTTGAAAAAACTGTTCATTTAAATAAATGGAAAGGCAGTTCAGAGGAGCAGCAGGAAGCGTGCTTCAAAGGTGTTTTAGGCAGAACGAGCAACCTCGGTTATCAAATAGTTTTTATTGCTGGTATGGTTTGTTACTGCAGTAGTGTGGTTTCCTGCAGTCTAAGGATAAAGTATTCCTTTGTGTTGGCCTGCCGATGGTTAGTCACCTATGACAGTTTCAAATGTGCTTCAGGTTAAATATTTTGCTATCATTCACTGTAGCAGTATTGTGCATGCAGCATTAGTACTGCTTTCTTTTGTAAAGCATCATATAGGTTGAATATGTAATTTTCATGGTTATAAAGGAAAAAATGCAGTGGCTTGACATACAGTGAGATCTTTGAAGACAAATAAAGGATTTTTGGCGAATTTTAAGCATTCTACACAATGCAGTAAGTGCTTTAGTAGACAATTCGCATGAGATTATAGTGGAAATTATATCATACTTTATGCCATTGGAGTCTATTATGTTTCTGTTCATTGTATTGAGCAGCACTACTTCACAACTTTTTGGAAAAACAACTTGTGCTCTTATGTCCCTGTAAGATTGGGACCCTTTCACTTTTTTATTGAGCATTTGGTTGTATCTAGGTATTCTTTGTATAGCTAATGTCCAGAACAAATGGATATTTAAACTTGGTTTATAATGCTGAGAATTTAAATTGGTATGTTTTTAAAGTAGTCCTCTAATCTCCTCTTGAATATTTCCTACAGATAGATCTGAAATAGCATTGAAATCCTGAACTAGTATGTTATAATGCAGAAGCAGAACAAGTGTTGGCTTATTTTACTTCCTGCAATATTTTCTCACATTGATTACAGTAACAATGCACCTGAGACAAATGGATATAGATTGGGATCTTTACAGATGCTTAGCTTTACACAATCACTTTTCCTACTCTTTGGGACAAAAAATGGTTGCAGATAACTACCTCTTATCAACCTTATTAGTATGAGATCCAGTCTGGAGTCCTGAGAGTGAGCTGAGTGCATTAGCTGCTTGCCAGCCAGAGTGAATGTGGACAATGGGTTGCCCCAGAGGAACTGCTATTGGGTTGAACTCAGGGGCTGGGGGGAAGGGGCTAAGGCACTGCAATAAGGCCAGGACCTTGCCTGCCCTTGGGATCTTGACCTTTCACATAACAACAAGCTAGCAGTAGGAAATAATCTATTAAATTTGCAATTTCCTGTCCTCCATAATAATAGCTTTGCTGCTCTCAGCTTTCATTGCTGTGATAAATGAAGATTTATGTTGAGACATAATAGTGCCGGGAGGTTTATTGGCTTTTTAAAAAAAATCGATATGTTGTTGTCGTTGACCTAATGACACAAGTCTTTTGGGGGGTGGGATGGGGTGGATCTGTAGTGGTTGCCAAGTCTGCTGCTTCCATCTGTATGGCAACAAGCTTTGCGGATTGATTGTTTTAATCTTAGCCGAGTGCTTGTGCAGCATATCTGAAATAGTGATAAGCTCGCACTTTGAATGGCATCACCATTCTTGGTTGGTTGTGGCATGCTGTGAGCTGTATTTGTAGCATTGCTTCTGTTATTTTTGGCTGGGTTCTGGTATTGGGTTCACTCAGTTTATATTGGTTTCATTGAACTAAACAAGTAAAGAGAACTTAATACAACTCGTTTGCCAGTCGAGCTGGCCAAGGCCTTTCTTTCAGTCTCTGCGGCACCTTTTCCAAAGCCCTTCTAACAAAAAATCCTGGATTAATTTTCTCTTGCAGTGTCGACTTTCTTAGATTAAAAAAAATTCTCCCTTTAACTCCATTCTAAGATGAGATATTTTGACTGAGGTTTTAAGTTTAAAAAATATTGTGAAATACCACCAGGGAATAAGTGCCTTACATAGTGTATGTCCCCCTTCTTGCAGGAACATTTCCCTTTAAATATTGAGATGAAAGTGAGGAGAGTTCAGATTTTATTGTGAAAAATTGAAGGTTAAAGAGGTGGTCTTAATACCTTGCAGATCCCCTGTTGGTTTAGCTGGTAAGTTGCTATTCACAGTAAAATTGAGCCATGCAGTTCCATAAGATATTTGGTTGGATTCCTAATACTGAGTTCACTGATCTTAGACAGAGGTGGTACGGTGATTAATGCCTCTTAGCTGAGAAGCAAATTGAGCAGGGCCTTCGTTGCTATTTAGTGAGTCTAAGATCCTACTTGACTGTTGTGCTCACTGTGTATTCTTACACATGCAGATGGAGTATTTGAAGAGGTACTGGAGAAGTGACTGCACCAGTGCAACTGTCTCTGAGCACAAGGCAGCATCTTGTGGCAAGCAGAAACCATTTTACAGCTAACTTTTACAAGACCGACATTAATGCCTCCAGTTTTGTGAAAGAGCTGTGGATTAAATGAGTGAGCTGTATTATATTACAAAAAGTCTGCTATATTGAGATGATGATGCCCAAAAGTGATGCAATAGCACAAAAACGTACAGGTCAGCATTGGGAGAATGATTACTGTTTTTAAATAAATCAGAATATTTGAAATACATAAATTTTTGAATCCAAAGATTCAGTGCATATCCCAGCCAATCCCTATAGGAGTATATATGACTGGTGCACATGTTTACATTTGTTTTTACTAACTCCATATTTTGAGCACAATCATTAGATATTTGGTCTTCCTCTTCACATTTTACCCTGTTGGGGTCACATTTTAAGAGTATATTGGTATGAACATGGAATTCAATCTAATATGCATTCAGTAGTAATGTGTAGTGTAAGCCTAATTGTTTTGTGCCATTGCATACAGACGCATTCTGAGATAAATGCAT